GATGGATGGATTAATCGGTGGTGATAAAGATTACGTAGTGAAAGTTTTCCGGTTTGGTCTCAAATCGACACATTCACAACATTTAGAGGAGGATTGAAAAAGACTGGGTAAGGACCGGTCTGCTCAATCAAAACTCATGTCTGTGATACATGTCTGGATCGTAGTACTTGGTCACCACCACCCTGTTGGCAAACTTGCGGCCGGTGAGAGCCTGCATGGCTTTCTGACATTCTGCAGGAGAGACGTATTCAACAAAGATCTGAAAGGAAAAAAAGCAGAAAGAAAATGGCAGATTCAGGTCCAGAGAACAGATCCGTCCTCCAGGCTTCTAAAGCTGCTCTCACACAAAACCTTAACAGATAATATAGAGGAAATCTTTGTGCCACAATGTACCACATTTACCCACAAGAGGGCAGCAATGAGCCAAATAAAAACTCTAGATCAGGTTCTTGGTCTGATGTCTGCAGTTCAAAAACATGACTGAAAGGTTAAGTGGTCTCTTCAAATTGCTCTGAGGTATAAGAATTTGTTTCTTTTTATTTTGTTTGTGGATTTTGCCCTGTGATGGAATGACATCATCTTCTCTCACTGCCAATCAGCCGGCCAATCGATCGGCCGACGCCCACAAGCCGATCTAATCCACCGGCAGAGGTCTGAAGATCAGCTTCTGTTCGAGCTCTAAACTTTCCATCTACGTTTGGCAGCACTTCATTATGCAGATAAAACAGGTCCGTGTTGTTTCACTCTGTTCTATAATATCACTGAAAACTTTCAGGTGTTTTGTGACTTTATGACTGTTATGAAATTAGGAAAAAATCTGCATTGGAAAAAATCAGAATCTGTAGTTCAGGATTTTTAAAAGATCGGTGATCGGCCAGGAAAGTGCAATCGGTGCATCCTTTAAATGTCAGATTCAGTCCATATGAACTGGTGTTAGCGACATGATTTAACAAAGGGAAATTATTTTTACTTTATTTAATAGAGTGATATTTGCTCCTAAAAAGCCAAACATGAAACGTTGCCAAGCATTTTATAAAAGCTTTTTTATTTTAAATAAGAGAACTAACACTGTTATCCAAGGTCCAAGAGGATATAAAGTTTAATTTAGTTCAGGAAATATTACATTTGTTGTTTTTTTCTGCATGTCTTTCTATTTGTTAAAAGGAAAAATAAATTTGGAGCAGAAAAGAAACAGTGAACGTTTTCCTAAGCGCACCTTTCCACAGCCGGGCACTTCCACGCCGTCGACGGGTCGGGGAATCTCGATGGAACGGACGTTCCCGTACTTGCAGCACTCCTCCCGGATGTCCTCCAGGATCTCCTCGTAGTCCTCGTCGTCCACCAGCTCCTCTGGCATCACCATGTTGAGGAGACACAGCACCTCTGTGGGCATGCCGGAATTCTGCAGCCTCTGGAGTCCAGGAACCTGCAGCGTCACTGGGGTCTCTATAATGGACGTCTGGTGGGAAAACAGTCGGCAGCTGTTAGCTCTTAAAAGTGAATCATCTCGTATAGATCAGCATTAACATCCTCCTCAATCCTGCCTCTTTCTTTTAATCATTAGAGAAAAATAAAAAACATTTTAAAAGCTTTAAAGATAATAGAAAAACCATCAAATACTTGGAGGTGTAGATGTACTAAAACAAAATATCAATGCACCCTTCATCCACCAAAGATAGTTTGTCATTCAAATGTTAATATTTAAAGTTTATCATTGATACAAACTGTAAAAGAAGTCTAATCTGTCCACTGCCCGCTGCCTAGTTTTCTAAACCACACAAAATGCTTCTGATTTCTACTCACAGGATTGGCGTTTTTAGCTCCCACGCTTGCCCTCTGGACGATGAGCTTTTTGTCGCCCAGCTGCATCCCGTTGAGCCCAGCAACAGCCTGCAGAACAAACGCAGAGCTAGAAACCCCGCTGCAGACCGCCTCCTCATCAGGATGCAGCCCAGAGTGTTTCTACCTGATCGGTGGCGCTGATGTCCACGTATTCACAGAAGGCGTAACCTTTTGACAGCGACGTGGCGCTGTCCTTCACCAGGTTGAAGGCTTTGAGAGGCCCGAATGACGTCAGGAGCTCCTTCACCTGGAAACAAGAGCCAGAGAGTCCCACCTAAGGCTGCGGCTCCATCTGAACAACAGTCCGTTTGTCTTCTTAATAAACTTCAATGTAACTTTAAATACAAACATGAAGTGTCTTTCAAAAGCATGTCTACCCCTTGAACTGAAATGTGCGGCATGCATTGACGTCCTTTTCTTCCTGTTCCCATCAACTCTGACCAGTTTATCTGTCCTTTGTTGAAAATAAAACATCCTCACAGCATGATTCTGCCACCGCTGTGTCTCACTATAGAGTTTTGTGTTTAGGGTGGTTAGAAGCGGTCCTAGCTTCAGTTTACCGGGGGACAGGGCACATAAGAAATAGAAAACACCAAAAAAACAAAACAAACAGCACTTAATTTAGAGCGCCACAAAGCCAAAGGTTGCAGACTCCTGATCTAACCAATGAAAACTGTGATCCTACACTGGAAAAACAATCTAGAAATAAGTAAGAACTTTCTTAGATTATGTGAATTTACCTTTAATTTGAGTAGGTAAATGAGATAGTTTGCCAATGGAATGAGTATTTCTACTCTTAAAATAAGATAATGGGATAACATACACTTAAAATAAGACAAAGCGATTGTCTTTTCTTATTTTAAGTGTAAATTATCTTGTTTCATTGGCAAAATGTCTCTTTTACCTCCTTAATCCAAGAATAAATGCACATATTTTAAGAAAAAATGACTGATCTAGATTTAGATTTCTTCCAGTGACGAGTGAAGCTTTAAGCTAACTGCAACTTCAAAAGAGTTGTTAAAATTGTAAAGGTAATTAATCTAATTGGTCCTAGGAACGATTCAGTTACGGTCTCTTCTGTCAGCGCAAAAAATTATAAGAAGTTTACACTGCAAAAACGGATCTTAAAAAGTAATTTTTTAAATAAATGTATTTGCCCTGAATGTGAGTGAATGGTTATGACAATCTGCTAAAGGAAGGATGTACTTTTGTTCATGATGGACATTTCAGTGACAGTGGCATTGGATTTAGGAGTTCGCCCTGCAACCAGAGGGTTGTCGGTTCAAACCCCAGCTCTGCCTTTCAGTGTTTATGTGTCCTTGGGCAAGACATTTGACACACATTTGTAATGATCTTGGTTCTGTTGGTTTTTCTCTAAGTTTTCAGTTTTAAGTTCATTCAGGTTTTTTAACTTGTTTTCTAGCTTTGTTGGTGTGTTCTAGATTCATTTAAATTTCTTAGGCTTTTCTTTGTCTGTCCTCTGTTCATACTAT